CTGGGATCCATGAACAGCAGATCGAACACAGTACACGGTAATTAAGGATGTACTGAGTCAAGAAAGTTCTTCAAAAAACCGCGGAACACTCAGAAAACCGCAGTCCCCCTAAAATACGTATGCAGTAACTAACAAATAGAGGACTAATAGCATCACCCAAAGAGGATTATGGTACCAGATTAAGTTTTTTCGCCTGTATGGTGTAGGGATGTACAACTGACACTAGGGATACAAGCTGAGGTAAGCACCCTCATCCGGTGTGCTGCTTAAATAACTTTTTAACAAAAAATATTGTGTATTCAGTTAATTTCATGGAACTTCATCGTTAGTTATCTCCTAAAGTTCCTTGGAAATGAACATCATTTCCTAGCACCTGATCTAGCACTTGGTCGTTCTTTCATCCCAAAATGCTCACATCTCTAGGCCCTACAAATTGACGGAGCAAGTATAAGAAAACCACGCATGACAAGCCCCTGTAAACCGCATTATTATGAAATCCTCAATATTGTTCTATTCTCCACATGGCTTACGTCTCGACCACAGGCTATATAATATAATAGTGGGGTTTGCCAAGTCAACAGAAGTATCGGAGTGTTGACCGCATTGAGACGTGCTCTGCTTATTTCCATTGCATGTATACATTTTTAAAATGTTGCACTATAAATTTTTTACTATTTTAGTATTTTGCTTATCAAGTTAATTTATTTTAGTTTTGCAAAACCAGTGTTCAATGTATGAATTTATCCACTTATTGAGTTGTGAACTCATTGTGTTGTTTTTATTCTTTTAAGAGACTAGGGATTAGGTGGAATTGATGATTATTTTCAAATTCTTAGAACGGAGCAAGGAATAAAATTTAGAATTATTATTATCTTCTAGGTGAATGTTAAATAAAGTCTTTGATGTTTAATTGATGAATTGAGAGTTTTGTAATTAAGAGATTTCTTTCCTTTAGGTCGAGTTTTATTTTATGTTTAGGAATATTTGTTTATATCAAGTTAATTGGATTAATGTTGACTTTTGGGAATTATAGAGAATATTTATTGTTGGTTTAAGTTCAATGAATAGATTATTTTGATAGTCTTTTAATGAATGCGTATTTTTGGAGGATTTTTCACAGGTTTGGACCAGCTCCAATATTCCTTTTAGGTTCCGAAGATTTTGAGGGTACTTTTGCAAGTACCCATGATTTAGGGGTATACATGCAACTAGTCCTTATAGGAACAGTGGAAAGAGAAACTGAAGTACCTACTGTACCTCTTTCTTGATAAGCAGCAGACGTACTTGCTAAACTTTCTTGCTTTAAAATATTCCAAAACAAGTAAAGCAGATTCCCGGATGATGCTCACTCAGTCCCCAGCTCCATCAGGCGGAGTAGGTGAGTGAGTGAATCATAAGTCATCCAGCAAAGGTGCTCATCAATAATTCCTCATCAAAAGTTAGTCCCAAAAATTCAAAAGCATTGCCAAGGAGGTGAGGACATGGCCCAAGGAATCAGGAAAAGGACTAGGGAGATACCCCACTTAAAAAAGCAAAAAAAAATTTAAACGTGTCATTGCTATCTCAGGCTAACTACCATTATTATGAGGGAATCATATTGCATTTGTCCCAAGGTCATGCAATGATCACTAATTTTGACCACATCGGGAGAAAGAAAAAAAAAAGAATCTTCCCTGCCGGAAGATAGTGTTGGGGAATTTCAGTCTCCCCGCCTACCACGATATGCGTAACTCAAAAACCAACCACAATCAATAAGATAAAACAACCACAATCAAGAAAAAGAACACCGAGATTTACGTGGTTCGGTCGACCAACTTCGAGCTACGTCCACGGGACAACAATACGAGAAATTCACTATGTATCAGGGAGAACTACAAGATGAACCATTCAACTCTCGTCTCTCAATCTCTCAACCTCACATACATAATCAATTCTCATATTCTCTCCAAAGCCTACTCTTTGTAATCTTTTGCACAGATAAAGACTACGAAACTCTCTCTCTCTCTCTCTCTCTCTCTCTCATCTACTACATCTCTACTTTTTTTTATGGTTTTTCCTCCACCAATAGAAGAATATATATAGGGAAACCAAAACCCTATCTCTAGCCTAACTTCCTAATTAGAATAGGATTCAAACTCCTAATCATGATAAAACTCAAAGTCCTAATCATGATAGAACTCAAACTCCTAATCATGATAGAACACAAACTCCTAATCATGATAAACTCTAACCCTATCTAATTCTCATGAAGTTACACAAAGAATCAAAGATAAAATCCCAACAATCTCCACCTTGGATTTGATTCCCAAACTCCCTTGAAGATATATCATCGTCGTCTTGAAACTTTGTCTCTCCCGCTAGAGTCTTCCATTTCTTTCGCACTTCAAATCAGAACACCTGCACTCCGAATTGGATGCCTTCATGATCCTCATTATCTTCTGCTTCGCCGTGACGCCTTCACCTCTCTTGTTGTCCTTGTGCTCCACCTGCATCGCTCGTCTCGAATCATATCGGTGCACCTCTCCTATTCCACACTACAAGCTGGATGCCTTTATCTCCTCCATCACTTGGCTTGGACTGAATATGAGCGCTCACCATCTTCAAGTCCAACGCCACCATCTTCATCTCCATGTGTGTCACTCGGTCGTGCCCGCTTGCAAGCTCCACCTAATCTGGCACTGTCCTCCTCAAGTATACACACTAACCAACTCCTGTTCTTTATCTACCATCAGATTTGTCTTGCCGTTAAATAGCGGAATATCAAACTTCGGACCCGAAAAAGTCATCATCTACCATCAGATTTGTCTTGCCGTTAAATAGCGGAATATCAAACTTCGGACCCGAAAAAGTCATCATTCTCTAATCAAAATTCAAATCAGTCACCGTAGAGTTTGAATTTGATGAAACCGATGCCAAAAACGAATTCAGCACGTTGAAAAACCCTAGGAACGACTCCTGGATCACCAAAATCTGCCTCCAAATCCTCAATCGGCTAACAAATCAATCTGGACCGTCGGATCCCCACATAAACAGTGGCAGCCGCGCTACAGCGATCTGCTACAGTACCTGTTTGCGTCGAAAGTTAATGTATTCATTGCGGTATTCATTACAACTTCGGTCGTTACAATAAAAACAAAAGGATAATCTTTTTATAAGATCTTTACACAATGAAAACAAAAGTTACAACTCTCGTCAAAACAAACGCAGAGATCGTTTATCGGTCTTCTGCTTGCGTGGGATCTTTGCCTGTGCCGGGGTTTATCCGTGGACCGCCTTAGATCTGGATCCGGTTGATGGAAAATTCGGCAGAACTTCTCCTTCGTCGAGGAAGTATTTGATTTGAAGCGCTGAGATCGACCAAGCGAAATCAGGGCTCTTCTCGAGATTAAGACCAAGCCTAATCTCAAGGGACGGACGGGAACGGGCGTCGGATCTCTCGAACTCTCCTTCTTTATGCCGAAGAACTCGCCAAGATCTGTCAACCCTCGCTGAAATTCGTGCTCCTTTGACTCCACAATCCGGCAGCACCTCCTCGTCTTGATAATCAATCGCCCCGCTGAAAGGAGGCCCTAGGTTCATATTTATAGGCCTCAAAATGCGGTTATTTGGATAAGAACAAGGCATTTGGCTCTATCTTCAGTCAACAGCAGCCTAACAACGTTTAGGGATGATCTCAAGTCAGTTAAGAACCCCTGAAACCGATAAACCCTGCAAAAAACCAATTTAAAACTGTCAAAACGTGTTTTGGAACTTTAGACTGCGCAACAGGACAATCTGACCCGCGCTCGCGCGGGTCGGATCATTCCGTCCTGCGCTTAGC